AGTACTGATCAGGTCATGACTAGACTGGAGTTACGGGTTTGGGGGAAAAATAGCACAGAGGTGAAGTGCTCTTATCCCATCATGTCAGGGGTATATGCATTAATAGGACTTACCACTGATGGTGTTAACCTTGATCTCCTGGCCAGGGTAATGTTTGTCAGGTTTTTACACTAGAGAGTTGCTTTTCTCCCCACGTACTTTATTATTTGGAAGCAAGTCACTAAGTCCAGCCTGTACTCAAGGGGGAGAGCTCCACGTCCTGGTGTGGGGAGTACCTGCATATATTGTTTGGAATTCTTCTGTAAGGAAGATTCATCTCTTCTCTCCCGTGTATTTAATTCAGTCATTTACTTATATCAGTATGGACTCACACATTTACTTTTTACTTTGGGTTATAATCCAGTACTGTGTCATTTTGTTGCTAAAATTGTCCCTGCTTTGACTCTTCCAGCTTGGCTCTTGTGTTCCTTTTTTTTTTTTGTGGTACGCGGGCCTCTCACTGCTGTGGCCTCTCCCGTTGGGGAGCACAGGCTCCGGACGCGCAGGCTCAGCAGCCATGGCTCACGGGCCCAGCCACTCCGCGGCATGTGGGATCCTCCCGGACCGGGGCACGAACCCGTGTTGTCCTGCATCGGCAGGCAGGCTCTCAACCACTGCGCCACCAGGGAAGCCCTCTTGTGTTCCTTTGACTTGCTCCTGTCATTTTACTTTTTGAGCACTTCCTTACTTTCTGAGACTCAAGATGCTCCAGGCTCATCTTGTATTTTCCCTGCTCCAGCTCTAGGATCAGCCATTTCTCTGAGGAACTTTGGTTTCTTTTATTGGGAAATGGTATTTAGAAATCAAGATCTGGACTCTGGGTGTGCTCATTGCTACTAGAGTATCATTGCTTCTAGGCCCTCTCATGTGACAGCTAGGAAATAGGTGTATGTATACTAACCTGTGTTAGTAATTCGTATGCATAATTTTTTCTGTATCTACAGTAAGTGAAACATGACTGGTGTCTCTGATGAACCCATTATTACAGGGGCCTTTCTCACATTCCTTCCTTGCTTATCTATTACTTCCTTCTCAGACAGTGGGAAGCCTGGCTCCCACCATCCACCATCATTTGCTTATTTGAATCCAGTATATATGGAAGTGGTTTCAGATTTGTTAGCCTGTATCCCCATAAGAAACAACTTTATCAACTAAAGTACAGTGCAATTACAGTTTCCATTCAAAAGGCTGTTTTTCAAAGTTACTTGTCAGCTGCTCCCCACCCTCCCCACCTCATGCCTTTCAGTGGTGTCTGTCACACACTTAGGTTCTTTTGTCTCAGTCTGCATTCCACCTTGGCTTCCCCTGGTTGATTGTATTACTTTTTTTTTATACATTTTTATTGGAGTATAATTGCTTCACAATGCTGTGTTAGTTTCTGTTGTACAACAAAATGAAACAGTCATATGCACACACATATCCCCATATCCCCTCATCCCCTCCCTCTTGAGCCTCCCTCCCGCCCTCCCTATCCCACCCCTCTAGGTGGTCACAAAGCACCGAGCTCATCTTCCTGTGCTATGCAGCTGCTTCCCACCAGCTATCTATTTTACATTTGGTAGTGTGTATATGTCCATGCCACTCTCTCACTTCGTCCCAGCTTACCCTTCCCCCTCCCCGTGTCCTCAAGTCCATTTTCTACGTCTGCGTCTTTATCCGTGTCCTGCCCCTAGGTTCTTCAGAACCTTTTTTTTTTTTTTAGATTCCATATATATGTGTTCGCATACGGTATTTATTTTTCTCTTTCTGACTGACTTCACTCTGTATGACAGACTCTAGGTCCATCCACCTCACTACAATTAAGTCAATTTCGTTTCTTCTTATGGCTGAGTAATATTCCATTCTATATACGTGCCACATCTTCTTCATCCATTCATCTGTTGATGGACACTTAAGTTGCTTCCATGTCCTGGCTATTGTAAATAGTGCTACACTGAACACTGGTACATGTCTCTTTTTGAATTATGTTTTTCTCAAAATGGATTAAAGACCTAAATGTGAGACCAGACACTATAAAACTCTTAGAGGAAAACATAGGAAAAACACTCTGACATAAACCACAGCAAGACCTTCTTTGACCCACCTCCTAGAGTAATGAAAATTAAAACAAAAGTAGACAAATGGGACCTAATTAAACTTAAAAGCTTTTAAGCAAAGGAAACCATAAACAAGACAAAAAGACAACCCTCAGAATGGGAGAAAATATTTACAAATGAAACAACGGACAAAGGATTAATCACCAAAATACACGAACAGCTCATGGAGCTCGATATCAAAAAGATTGTATTACTTTTAAAGTGACAGTTTACAAACTTTTTCACGTTACTGCATTATTTTCATATTTATTGTTTTTTTTTTTTCTTTTTTTTTTTTTTTTTTTTTTTTTTTTTTTTTGAGGTATGCGGGCCTCTCACTGTTGTGGCCTCTCCCATTTGCGGAGCACAGGCTCCGGACGCGCAGGCTCAGTGGCCATGGCTCACGGGCCCAGCCGCTCCGCGGCATGTGGGATCCTCCCGAAACGGGGCACGAACCCGCGTCTCCTGCATCGGCAGGCGGACTCTCAAGCACTGCGCCACCAGGGAAGCCCCATATTTATTGTTTTGACTGGCTGCTTTGAGTTGATGATATGCTACAGTTAATTTGAAAGTTCTGTTGTTAGAATATAAGTTGTTTACAGTTTTCAGCATTATGAATCCCCAACAAGAAATATTTTTTTAATGAACTACTTTCTATTTTTCTTTTCTTTTCTTTTCTTTTTTTTTAGAGTAGTTCTCAGAAATGAAATTACTGGGTCAAAAGATAAAAACATTTTGATAACTCCTTTTATGCCAGATTGCCCTTTGAAAATATTATGCTGGTTTAAAATGCTACCTGATATATATAGGTTTTCCAAAAACGTTTTGGGTTTTTATAACTTCAGAAAAATAGCAACCTTTTGACCATTTTACTAAATACAAGCTGCTACTTCACTATGCTTATAATATTTACTCCTTAATTTACTAACAAGGTAAGACATTCTACCACATCTTTACTTATTCTGTTTATATTTTTGAGAACTGTGTTGTTAAAAAAAAAAAAAAAGAGGAAGATTGTGAACTCTTTGCTGGAACAAAATTCTGAATTTTCCTAGGCAACTTCTTGCCATTTTGGAACTATTTTAAGTCTAGAGTAGATAAAGTATGGTGTTCCCAACTTTCCTTTTGGTTCAGATTAAATTTTTTCCTTTGGGTTCTGCTGCATCAGAAAATGGAAATAACGGTGGGTAGTCCAGGTTCACATTACCACCAGTTAGACCTTGTTTGAACAGGAGTTTGATTTCATTTTCTTTTGGAAGCAGATAATGTGCTAGATAAAAATATGTGCTCCTTAAGGAACTTTTACCTGGTTGATCTCCTGCAGTAAACGACATAGCCCTTTGCACTTAGTAGGTACCAAGTAAGTGTTGGAGATGCAGTGAGACTAAGTATAAGTAGTTCAGAACCCAAACTCTGGAACCAAACTGCCAGCTTTGTATCCTGGCCTTGCTGCTTACCAGCTGTACGACTCTGAGTAGGTTATTCAGCTGTGCTCGTTTCCTCGTCTGTAAAAGGGAGCTAACAGTCCCTGTCTTACTGGGTTGTTGTGAGAATTAAATGAGCTAGCATAACTGAAGCATTTAGAATAATGCTTCAGTTAAGCATTATTAGCAGTGCTTCTCACATGCTAAGCACTATGTGTGTTCATTCTTTCTTTGTCAAATTCAGGTGCATTCAACCCAAGCCTTGAAGATCGTGGATATTCAACAAGTGTTTTTTTCCTAGGCTTATTTGATTTTTGAAAACCTATAGAAAAATCTCACTTAGCAAGAGGTTGCTTATCTCATTAACACAGATGGCACAAAGCCCACAGTCAAAATTCTGGCCTTTACATATGGAGAGTACCTTACACTCTCCATGCAGAGTTTGTTTACTCTGACTTTATGCATAATGCTAAGCTGAATTATTTTATTTTATTTTATTTTATTTGGTCTGCTCATATTATATTAGAAGTAGCAAAACAAGAAGAGGCTATTGCTTCAGGAATAGCAATAGGTACAGGTAGCAAGAAGGGATGTTGTGACATAGCCTGATATCAAGGACCAAGAAGCTGTACGTTTCCACAGAAACTCCATAAGCACCACACTCTGGGGCCAGTTGTTAGAGCATGGCTTTAGTTAGTCCTGGGTTCATCTCTCAGCTCTGTCACTTACTAGATATTGGGGAGCTTGGCCTAGTTGCTTCACCTCGCTAAGCTTCATTTTCTTCATTGGCAAAGTGAGCGTAGTACTGTCCATTTCATATGGCCATTTATTTAGTGTACCTAGCTCTCAAAAGGCAGATATTCAAAAAGTGGTAGCTGTTGTTTTGTTTTTTAATTATTTATTTGATTTATTTAGTATAGGGTCAGTCAGCTTCTGTGTATTTTAGATGCCCCTGAAGGCATCACTATCACTATATTATAGCCTAGTGTAAAGGTTGATATTCATGATGATGACATTGTTTTCAAGATGGTAAATTCAGAATCCTCCATTTAAGTGGTCAGGGAATCTCACAGGATGAGATATGGCGTTAAAGTAGTGACAAACTTAAATCACGTATTTTTTGGTGAAAATTTAGGTAATTGAGATTTCCATTTTGAAACATTTAAAATAAGGAAAAAAACAGAAACACAATGGAATAAACTTAATTTATCTCAAATATTTAGGTAGATAAAACATTTCATTCCCAGACAGAAGTGCTTCAGTAATCCCATGCCTAACAGCCAAGTGCTGAGTTGATTTCCACTAGCTCTTGCCTCAGATATTTTTGTTCTTTTGGAATGGCTTTGCTTATTCAGCTTTGACTTTGATATGGTATCTGTAAAGAGAATGAATCAGTATTTTTTCTCTTTTATGGTAGAAGGTTATATCTAACACACCAGGAGCTTGGTTCCTGACTAATGCCGAGGGTAGATGACCTACCAGATCATGTAGACCCAAAACTATAAGATGTCTCTTGAGAGGGAGTTTGTAGGGACCTCAGCTAAGAAGACTTCCCATTGCCAAAAATAGGCACCATTTCTCCACAAGGTTTCTAAAAGTAAGAAAGAGAAGAGGGAAAAATTACTCAGACATAAATACAGTTAATATTTTAGTAGTTTTCTTTCCTACCCTGTTTTTTTCCCCACTTATTAAGTCAGGATTTTCCATATTACTGCCTTCTCTTAAACATTTCCACAATGGACTTCATTTTTCAATGTTTTGAAATACAGTTGAACAGCCTCTGCTTTTAATAAATTTGTGCCTAGTAAGGTAGCAAAGCCCTATAAAAGTGCTCCAGTATTGATCAGTAACAAGGTAGTGGACCATTTGGTTTATTCTTGTGTTTCAGGGGGAGAAAATAGAAGACATTCCAAAGGAAGTACTGATGGACTGTGCCCATCTTGTGAAGGCCAATAGCATTCAAGGTCAGTTTTCCTAGAGGTGTTTTCAGAATTAGCACCACTTTCTCTGTGTCTGAAATGGATTACATCTTAGAAAACATATTACTGACTTTAGAGAACGTATTACTGACTTTAGCTTGAGTCAAGGGAATGACATGTAATATGCATTTCCCCTGTTTTGTTCTTTAAGATGGCAGTTGCACTACCTGTCAGAGAACTGAAAGCCAACCTCCCTGCCCCTCTAATTTTCATGGCCCTATCTCAAGCCTTTTTTACCCTGTTTACCTTGAATAGAAAATTGTCTAGGGCTTCCCTGGTGGCACAGTGGTTAAGAACCGGCCTGCCAATGCAGGGGACACGGGTTTGAGCCCTGGTCTGTGAAGATCCCACATGCCGCAGAGCAACTAAGCCCATGTGCCACAACTACCGAGGCTGCGCTCTAGAGTCCATGTGCCACAACTACTGAAGCCCGTGCACCTAGAGCCCATGCTCCACAACAAGAGAAGCCACTGCAGTGGGAAGCCCGCATACCGCAACTAGAGAAAGCCCACACACAGCAACAGACCCAATGCAACCAAAAATAAATAATAAATTAATTAATTAATAAAAAAAAGAAAATTGTCTAGACCTGCCTACCCCTAAGGTTACTTGTAGAAAGACTTTTGGAAATTACATTATGTTAATTGCCAAGCAAGAGATGTGTCTCATGGCTTTATTTGTAATGTTGGTTGATGTCTTTGTTTCCATTATTTGTTACTAGATTCTAGAACCCAAGTCTCCCAATTACTCTTTCCTACTTTTTCTTTCTTTCCTTCTCTCCTTCCATACTTTCTTCTCTCTGTAAATTGTGAAGGTGTTAAGTCTGTTGATCTTGTTATCTCCCAGAGAATCGTAAATAATATGTCTAGGGTGATGCATTAGAATCAGTATTTTTACAGTGCTCTCCAGGTGATTCTAATGTGCAAAGAGTGTTGAGACAATTGGCCTCCATGTTTTAAGTAGGACCTGCAGTATTGGCCTTGGTGCTGGTTTAGTTCTACTGTACAAGATTTAATTTGTCAAGTCAGTATAGGTCAAGAAGGACAATCAATGGAGTGGAGGAGGCAGTTATAAAGGGGAGCTGGGTGATGGTATTCTGCTAGGAATGAGCTAGTAGACTGGATTTTAGTTGTAGGACATGGACCTAGATAAGGTAGAGGTAAGTTTGGTTTGATATAAAGTTGAGGGGTGATCCAGAGGGTTTGGAAAAAATACGGTTTGCATAGAAGATAAGCATGGGGCAGACACAGAGACGACGGCAGGTACCGGGAGCTGGTGGTTATAGGAGAAGAGCTGGGCAGTGTGTTCCCTCCCGCATCACTTAGTCGGCGTTTCCTGCGTCTCAGCAGCTTTACTGAATCAGGTGCCTAGCCAGAGAAACTGGAAGTCTTGTCTTACAGAGCCATTCATTTTCAACTCCATAAATCATTAAATTGCAGTTAGTTTTAGGACGTTGCATTTTTGTGAGTAGAAGAAGAGCTCCTCAGATTTCCAGTTAAAATCTTCGGTTATGGAAAGAAAAATAATAAAAATTGAAACTACGTCATTATCCTCCTTCCTTGTGTGTTGCAACCTCTTTAATGTGTTTTCGTGCCCCTGGCTAGCAGATGTGAATGTATTAAAAGAGCTTTGGACTCGTTATTCTTGGCCCGGCCACTTTCTTCTTAATCCCTTTATAGTTTACTAGTTCTAAAGAAAAGAGAATCACTGAATCACTCTTCCCTCCTCTTCAGCCTTCCACAGGGGTAGCTCACTCATGAGGAGCTAAGCCCAAGCGTCTCACTCTCAGGAGTCAGTAGCAGAGGATGCTGAGGAGTGGAGAAGATTGTCTTTGCTGTGAGATTCGCTAAGTACACACTACATTTGCGTCACTGTGTTAGTAAAATATTTCCCTCCCTGGCTGACCACCTTCAGCGCTGTTGGTCGTCATAGAATCTGGTCAGCCTCTTCTTTATTCATGTTATAATCTCTTGCCAGATTAAACTTTCTAAAAGCTTAGACACTTTCTGTGACACCCTTCACCTTGCCTCTGCAGTTAGACCCAGACTTCCTAAGCTGGCATTTAAGCATCTCTGATCTGACCACAGACTTTTTTTCCCTTCATATATTTCATACTCCAGCCAAAGCAAATACTTGCTGTTTTCCTGCTCTGTGCCTTTGCTTGTATTGTTCCCTCTGCCCTCAATGTTACACTCCTGCCCAGTCATCACGTGTCTAGATTCGAGCTAAGGTTCAAGGGCTATGCTGTAGTTATAGTAATAGTAATAACAGCTAGCATTGAATGTTAATTACATGCCTGGCACTCTGCTGAGAACATTACAAATCGTTCATTTATCAACTCTACTGAAGTAAGATATTACTTTCATTTTATAGATGAGGAAGCTGAACTTAAGAAATTAAGAATTAAGGAACTTAACCTCTCCCACGGAGCCTTTTCCTTCCTCCAGCTTTGAGTGACCACTGCCCTCTCTGAACTCCCTTAACTCTTTACCTGTATCTTTCCAATATCACTTGATAACTTCTAATTTTCATTGAAATTATTTATGTACTTATCTGCCTGCCTTTAATCTTCAAAGGCAGGATCCATTATCTGATCCATGTTTGTATCTCCCACAGTGCCCTGCACATGGAGATTTTTTTTTTTTTACTTAATTTTGAAAAAAATTTCAAACCTACAGAAAAGTTGCAAGAAAATTTAGAATCAACAGTTTTTCCATATTTGTTTGCCTTCTCCCTGTAATTCACACAATGGTTTTTTAGCTGGATCATTTGAAAGAAAATCACAGGCATCATGACCGTTCAGCATGTCCTAAGAAGTACATTGTCGTAAGCAACTGCATTACAGTGATCAAATTCAGGAAATTTAACATGGGTAGAATACTGTTATACAGAGTCCATATGTAAGTTTTGTCAGTTGTCCCTCTACCGTCATTTTATAGCTTTTTTTTTTTTTTTTGATCCAGGATCATACATTCTATTCACTTGTCGTGTATTGCTGGTCTCCTTTAATCTGGACACTTGTCTTTCAAGACGTTGACACTTTTAGAGTGGAGACGACTTTGGGTTGGTCTGATGCTTCCTGTTCAGTAGGACCACATTACGCATTTTGTGGCAGGAATACTATGTAAGTGAAGTCTTGTGCATTACAGTCAGGAGGCACATGCTGCCAGTTTGCCTCATTTTTGGCGATGTTAACTGATCGCTTAGGTAAGGTCGTGTTCACCAGATTTCCCCAGTGTATATGGTCATTTAATAACCATTGAAATGTATTGCCATCTAATTTGGAAGGGCCTTAGCACTGGACCAGTGATTAAACTGTGATTCTCAGAGCTGCCTGGGAGGCTGTCAGGGGTGGAGGGGAAACACGAAGTGGGGGTGGTGAGGGGAGAGGAGGAGGGGTGAGCAGGATACCTGGCACCCCTTTCCTCCAGAGCATCTCTGCTTTGATTACTTTGTTATGTTTTCTTTGGTAAAAGAGGTTCCACAGCTAAAGAAACAAAAACCAAAAAGCTCTACTAAACTAGTCCAGTTTCCTCATGTTTCAGATGAGATGCCAGGAGCCATGGGGATTTTCCCAGAGTGACACAGCTGGTTTGTGGTAGTGCAGGGTAGAATCCGGTGTCTTGAATCACTTTATCTTGCTGCTTAACCTTTATTAGATCAAGGGCTCCTTTGAGAATCTGAGGAAACCTGTTTGGTCCTTTTCTGTTTTAAAACACATACAATAAAATTTGCATTCAATTTTAGAGAGTCTCAAAGATCCCTGAAGCTGATCTCTTGACCCTGCTTTTCATCAGAATACTTTAGCTTGAAGTGTTGATCGGCTTTCCCATTTGCCTTTGTGGGTGGCTTCTTTTTTAAAAAAAAGTATTTTGTGGTTTCAAACACTTGGTGGCTTGTTCGTTCTCAGCCTTTTCCTTTGTTGGATTATGGTGACGGTTGTGGGTGAGGGGATGCATTGCTCAGCATCCTCCTCCCCACATGTTGAAGGCGGTCTCTCTTGGCAGGCTGCAAGATGAACAACGTCAATGTGGTTTATACCCCGTGGTCTAACCTGAAGAAAACGGCCGACATGGATGTGGGACAGATAGGCTTTCACAGGCAGAAAGACGTAAGTGTGAACATCACTGGAGGTGGCAGTGCCCTGGCGCTGAGTGGGTGTCTGTCTCTGCTGTTGAGGACTCAGCACGATGTCTCTTTCCTAAAGGGAATCAAGCTGGGTTGCTAAGCTGCTGGAAAGCCCTGCCCTATTCTGGGGGGAAGAAAAAAACCATAAAGATTCAGTATTTTTTTTCCCTCTATCTCCCTCAAGGTGAAAATTGTGACAGTAGAGAAGAAAGTGAATGAGATCCTGAACCGATTGGAAAAGACCAAAATGGAGCGGTTCCCAGACCTAGAGGCAGAGAAAGAATGCAGAGACCGCGAAGAGAGGAATGAGAAGAAAGCCCAGATTCAGGAAATGAAAAGGAAAGAAAAGGAAGAGATGAAAAAGAAGAGGGAGATGGATGAGCTTAGGTATGTTGGAGCTAAGGCACTGACGTTGACCTTGGAGAGTCTTCACTGCTGATTTAATTAGGGATTAACCCTTAAGAATGGTACAGTTGGCCCTGTGTATCCACGGATCCAGTCAACCATGGTTCAAAAATGTTTGGGGGTGGAAAAAATTCCAGAAACTTCCAAAAAGCAACACTTGAGTTTCCCTTGTGCTGGCAACTATTGACATAGCATTTACCTTTATGACTATTTACATAGCATTTACAGTGTGTCAGATATTATAAGTAATCTACAGATGATTTAAAGTATATGGGAGGATGTATGTAGGTTATATGCAAATACTATGCCATTTTTATAAGGGACTTGAGCATCCGCAGGTTTTGGTATCTGAGGGGGGTCCTGGAACCAATCCCCCATGGATTCCGAGGGACAAGTATATTCTGGTATTCTGGTAGATGAAGGGACATATAACGAGCTCCAAGCCTTAAATGAGTTAGAATAAGGCATTTATGCTAATGTGTTGGTCAAATGAATTGCCCTTTTATAGGGGCAGGATATGAGAGTGTACAAAATAAAATAGCTAATTTTAATCTTAATTTGGTTTGTAAACATCTTCAGGTAAAGAAGAGATACTATATTGAGTGTTTTATATTAGCTATGGTATTTGAATGAAAATGTCTCAGCTCTAAAGGCCAGTGCTAGTAACTCTTAAAAGCTGTTTTTAAAACCTCTCTTTTATAGATTTCGAAAGTTTAAAGTAATTAATGTGGAGAGGCCTGCTCCAAAAAACAGCATTTTTAAATAATAAATAGTAGTTAAAACACATCTTGGATCCTGAAATTCTAGTGTATAAGGCCATGAAAATACTGACTGTATTAGTTTTCTATTGTTACTATAACAAATTACCACAAATTTAGTGGCTTAAAATGACATAGATTTGTCATCTTACAGTTTTTCATGTTAGAAGTTCAAAATAGTTCTCACTGAGCTAGAATCAAAGTGTCTGCGGGGCTGTGTTTCTTTCTGGAGCCCTAGGAGAGAATCTGTTTACCTTCCAGCTCCTAGAGGCCACCCACACTCCTGGGCTTGTGACTCCTTCCTCATCTTCAAGGCCAGCAACAGTGCATCTCTCTGCCCCTTCATAGTCACAGCCCCCTCTCTGACCACAGCCTTCTCTGCTTCTAAGGACCAATGTGATGACATTGGGCCCACCCAGATACTGTGTGATAATCTCCCCGTCTAAGATCTTTTCTAATTTTAATTTTATTTTAAAATGATAAAAATTTATTCAGTTTTGTAAATTGAACGTCAAACCTCTTTTAAATTAAATTTAAATAAGTGAATCGGACACAAATGGAGAGAAATCACAGGAACTCTATTAACAGAAAGGGAATGAATTCTGGAATCTATTGGTTTTTAGAAAAATAGTGCTGAGTAGTAGCTGGACAGCATTCCGGGCACTTTCATTTCAGCATCTTCCCAGAAGTCCTTGCAAATGTCATTTATCTCAATGCTCTCAGGTTCACAAGAACTTCTAGAGATGAACTACTTTTCTCTTCCTGCTTGTATTACACAATGAACCATTGTACTTTCATCATCTTACCTTATCCACTCTCTTTTTCCATTCCTCATTATTATTCACCAAGTCAGATTCCATGCCTTTTCAGAGTGCCAAGTTATCAGCTCCATTCTCACTGTGTCAAGCAGTCTTCATGACAATTTATAGTCTTCTCCTCTTTATTACAATTCTAAATTTCCATAGGGTGAAGTCTAAAGAAGATATGTATGAGCTTTGTTTTTGTATAGTTTTATGTTTTTTGGGGTTTTTTTTAACATCTTTATTGGAGTATAATTGCTTTACAATGGTGTGTTAGTTTCTGCTTTATAACAAAGTGAATCAGCTATACACATACAGGTATCCCCATATCTCTTCCCTCTTGCGTCTCCCTCCATCCCACCCTCCCTATCCCACCCCTTCCCATCTAAGATCTTTAATTAAAGTCCCTTCTGCCATGTGAGGTAACATATTCGCAGGTTCTGGAGATTAGGATGTAGACATTTGGGTAAGATCATTATTCTGCCTACTATACTGGCTCTCTGTAGATGCATAGTACTATACCTGAAGGGGCCTCAGTTTTTCTTTGAGAAAGAAGGAAATTAATCCTGCCACTTCTAGTTACAGGATTCCTAGATTTTTTCCTGCTATTTTCCATAGATTTCATTTGTGATAAGTGTACCAAAAAAAAAAAGTTATTGATTCCTTTGGGAAGGGTATAGGATCAATATGAGCTGTCTTGCCCTGTCCTGACCTAGTTTCCTTGGAATACCCTGGATTATTAGAAAGATCATTGGGCCAGAGTGGAGGTTTTATGATCAAGCACTGGTATTTATTTGTTATCCATATGCACGCGTCCCTGTTGGGGGTTCTGCTAAAACAGGGTGAGTGACTGCATTTACAATACAATATTCAAATGGAGAACTCCGGAAGTGTTACCCCAAGTTATAAGCTGCCAGCATGAGACAGACTGATGCAGAGATTTAAACGTTCAATTTGACGTAGAATTGTGAGTCCATTTTGTGTTGTGAGTGAAAGACAAATTACCAACACCATTAGTTTCGAAAAATGTGTGGAATTTTGAGTGATACAGGATTTAGACTAGTTTATTCTTTTTGCTTTTAGTGCGGAGTGGAAAAAAATTGAAAGCATGCCTTTTTATGCCTCTTAAAACTCTACCGTAATGTTGTTTAGAGACATCATATTATATGTTAGAAATATAATGTCACTATAATGTCACTTAATTTATTTACAACTTTTTTTTTAGACTTGTAGGGTCTTTATATTTTTATTTTTTTAATATTTATTTATTTGGCTGCGTCGGATCTTAGTTGTGGCCCTCGGGATCTTTGTTGCAGCGTGTGGGCTCTTAGCTGTGGCATGCATGTGGGATCTAGTTCCCAGACCAGGCATCCAATCCAGGCTCCCTGCACTGGGAGTGCAGCGTCTTCCCCACTGGACCGCCAGGGAAGTCCCTACTTATAACATTCAATAAGAAAGATTAGCTAACATTTTTGGACACTTGTCATCTGCCCAACACTGTATTGTGCTTTACTGCATTATCTCATTTAATCCTAGCAGTAGCCATGTGAGGCAAATGTTTTGATCATCTGCATTTTGTAGAAGAGGAAACGGACTGAGGAGCAGTTAAGTAACTCGCTCAGAGGCACGTAGCTTGTCTCGGTCTGATTCTCAAGCTCACACACACTGTTACCACTCTCTTCTGCCCTCTGTTCAGTCTATTCCGCAGCTTCTGTGAAACTCCAGCAAAAAGCTCTAAGCTTCAGACTTGTTCTATAACCTGTTTTTATACACTTGCAGTGCTAGCATCACTTTAATTTCTGTCTTTGACTCTTCCACCCAAGAGATCAAAGGCTGTGCTTACAAAATCTTCTCATTCTGAAGTCTTTCACTTGCCTTTCTGACAAGGAAAATACCATTAAATTTCAGCAACAGTTGATTCTTTTGTTTGGACCATCTGGTAAGGAATGTCCAATTTAATTGCTGTGATAGCTGAAGAAAATTGACTTTTGAGTCTTCAGGGGATTCTACAGGTAAACTGAGAAGATAGTCTCATCCTGGACAGTATCCCCAGTGCTTCCAGATGATTTCAGGGAAGAAATCCTTAACAGCCTCACACCCAGAAGATATCCAACTTCTTTCCAATTCTAAAGCCATTATTTAGACTCTAGACTCCTTTTTTCAACTTTCTGAACAGGAATGGCAGTAAGCTTTTCATTTCTAATTTCTACCAGGAGAAAAAAAATGGATGGAATTGTCATTGTATAGTCCAGGTTCTCTGAGCTCTAGTCAGGAGTATATCCATTAGCCTCGGGATCAGAACAGAACAAAGCCCACAACACAGAAGGCACCAACTTCCTTCTCAGATGAAAAGAGCATCAGCCCCTGGAGACAGAACTCCATCTTGTTCTTGCAAATGAGTGCTTTACCCTTGTCCTCAGTGTGCAGAAATTCCAGTGATCTGATAATGTAGATAGGTCTACATAAAGATCATCCTTTTAGGTAGTTTTGTTTTTTTTCCCGATACGCGGGCCTCTCACTGTTGTGGTCTCTCCCGTTGCGGAGCACAGGCTCCGGACACGCAGGCTCAGTGGCCATGGCTCACGGGCCCAGCCGCTCCGCGGCATGTGGGATCTTCCCGGACCGGGGCACGAACCCGCGTCCCCTGCATCGGCAGGCGGACTCTCAACCACTGCGCCACCAGGGAAGCCCTTAGGTAGTTTTTTAAAGAAATATTTAGATTGTTTGGGAGGATGCCAAAGTGTGGAGGCTAAATGGTAGCAGTATATTAACATCTTCTATTAACCATTTTATTCATTCACACAATAATGAAAAGTTCCCCTTATTTAGGCTTCACATATTAATTCTCACTTGCCCATCTTGTTCGTTAGCTATTAAGACAGCTTTTTAGCTCACACTTGCCCTGTCAGCCTAGGCTCTCATGGGATTTTAGTTTAGAGAATCTTGGTATAGGGTTAGGTGTAGGGAGGAAACCTCACATGGCATGTTCTTTCCGTACCTGCTACACTGTAAGCCATACATAGAGTAAGAGGATGTAGCAGAAGAGAGTCTACATAGGTTTTGAAAGTAGTCAGAGCCTTAGAAGTGACCTTGCCTGGAAAGTTAGAGAAGCAGAGCAGCTTCTACTCAGTCTCCATGTAGTTTTTGGAGAGGTCCTTCATGCAAGTACCTGTGAGTCTCCCAGGGGACACCACAGGTGCTGTGGAAGAGTGTCCATGGCTCCCTCCAGTGTGTCGTAGTCAGTTTCATCTCAGTAGTTGGATTCATGCTTACAGACTGCTTACCTGCTGTGTTTTTTTTTTTTTTTTTTTTTTAAATCTTTATTGGAGTAAAATTGCTTCACAATGCTGGGCTAGTTTCTGTTGTACAACAAAGTGAGTCAGCTATATGTATACATATATCCCCATATCCCCTCCCTCTTGCGCCTCACTCCCACCCTCCCTATCCCACCCCTCTAAGTCATTGCAGAGCACCAAGCTGATCTCCCTGTGCTATGCGGCTGCTTCCCACTAGCTATCTGTTTTACATTTGGTGGTGTATATATGTCCATGCCACTCTCTCACTTTGTCCCAGCTTCCCCTTCCCCCCTGCCCCCTGCCCCCATATCCTCAAGTCCATTCTCTACGTGTGCATCTTTATTCCTGCCCTGCCACTAGATTCATCAGTACGATTTTTTTTTTTTTTTTTTTTTTTTGCGTTATGCGGGCCTCTCACTGTTGTGGCCTCTCCCATTTGCGGAGCACAGGCTCCGGACGCGCAGGCTCAGTGGCCATGGCTCACGGGCCCAGCCGCTCCGCGGCATGTGGGATCCTCCCGAAACGGGGCACGAACCCGCGTCTCCTGCATCGGCAGGCGGACTCTCAAGCACTGCGCCACCAGGGAAGCCCCATCAGTACGATTTTTAAAAAAATATTCCGTATATATGTGCTAGCATACGGTGTTTGTTTTTCTTTTTCTGACTTAATTCACTCTGTGTGACCGACTCTGGGCCCGTCCACCTCACTATAAATAACTCAGTTTCATTTCTTTTTATGGCTGATTAATATTCCATTGTATATATGGGCCACATCTTCTTTATCCATTCATCTGTTGATGGACATTTAGGTTGCCTCCATGTCCTGGCTATTGTAAATAGTGCTGCAGTGAACATTGTGGTACATGTCTCTTTTCAAATTATGGTTTTCTCAGGGTATAATCTTGTATTCACTGACTTGGCTTTTGTCATATACTGTAACAGACATCTATTAACATCAAAGTGAAGCTCACCATCTGAACATTGAAACTGGAAGAAATAAGCAAGTCAATAATGGATCAGAAAAGACCAAGGGTAGGGCCTAAGTTTACCTGAGATGGGGATATTTAAATTTGGGAGTCTCAGAGATCAGAATTGGAACCTGAGGTTCAGGTGGTTGAAGTCAGGAAAGTACAAGACCCAGGGAAGATGGCAAGTCACAGGTAAGCGTGTCGTCAGTCTGAGAATTGGCATGAACTTGATTTGGGGGCAGAGATTACTTTAGCAAGGAGGTTAATGTGTGAAAGGTAATAGCTGATCAGTGGCAAAGCAGGAATTCAAGCTCAAGTCTGTGATTCTGAAGTCCACACTTCTACTGTAGCTTGCTGCCTGTGAGGCAAAGAATGCCCAGGTTGGCAAGACCTGAGTCAAGGTGATTCAAAGGCAAATAAAAGAATGAAAAACTAGGTACATTGGACGGTGACTTAAAAGGTTTTGTTTAGTCCAGAATTTCATGCTGTAGGTGCTAAGGAACCACTGTAGGTTTCCTGGGATATTAGGAAGAAGAAATCTTGTCGGAAGGGTTTATTGGCGACGTGTCAAGGAGGTAATGGTGAGACCAGCGGTTGAAAGGATGGTATGGTCAGGTGTAGAAGTGGCTGCTTTCACTGGACCTCCTGTTGTTTCTCTCTCACGCACTGCTGCTGCTGCCTTCCATAAATAATGCCGTGTTGTGCCATAGGTCTTTGTTTTAATGATAAGCTCCCTCAAAGCGGCACTTCTGCATTCCTGTATCTCCTTGAATGTGACCCTGTGCTTTGCACATGCAGTGAGTGACTCAGTACATTACAGGTGAATGAGTAACTGAAATTAGCTTCCCTTGATACAGTGACGCTTGAGCTAAGATCCAAACTATTTTGCTAGTTAAAAGGGCAGGGGCAGTGGAAAGAGTACCGGAAGCAGAAGGAACTGTGTGTGCAAAGACCACATCACAGGACTAAAAGCCGACCCAAACGTCTGGAGCAGCAGGGGTGAGGGAGCCCAGGGATCAAGGGCTAGTCCAGCAGGGCCTTGTTGGTCATGTTTGTCTTCAGGCTGAGGGGTTTGTGAGGTCATTGGAGAGTGTTAAGCCAGGGGTAGTGTGATAAGGTTTGTGTTTTGGAAAGGTCATGTGACTGACCTGATTGGAAAGGGTGCCAGGTAGGGGTGTGGCTAGGCCAGTAGCTGTCCACATGACAGAGTTAGCCACTTGGGCTGTGGTGGTGATGTGGAGGCGGAGAGAACTGGACCAGTGAGAAAGTTTTCAAAACTGGACAGGATTTGAAAATAGATTGGATTCAGAGGAGGGGCAGGGACAAGAATGACTGCGGGGATTCTGGCTTGTGAAATGGAATGGATAGTGATGCTATTCTTTGAGCTAGGAAATGCTGGAAAGGAACCAAACTGTTTTTGGTTGGGGGGAAGACCATGAGTTGGGTATGGACATAGGAATCTGAAAGTGTGTTTGAGGCATCCCCCGAAAAAGTCAGACAGGCAGTTGGATTAATGGGATGGAGTGCAGAGGAGGTGTGTGGCCTAAAGAAGGGTAATTTGTGTGTTGCTTTCATATGAGTGGGAATTCGGACCCTGTGGTTCCTGGACCTGGCTCGCAGATGCCCACAGCTGGGCACTTGAAGATATTTTAATCTTCACAGGTGATTTTAAAATACAGTTGGAAGTGAGGTTCTCTGCTCTTAACTACTTTTTTATCAACATGGCTTTCTCTTTCTGCTCATGCAACTTATTGATCTTATCTGTCCATTTATATCTTATTGATACCACTGACTCTTACAAGCGTCATTACTGTCTCTCTCTGGGTGTCTCCCAGCTCAATGTCTCTGTCCGTGACAAGTCACCTTCCCTCTGGTCTTCAGTTCCCAGTTTCTACAGTTCATATTTACTTGGTTGTCCCACCATCGCTTCAAGTGTGACATTGTCCTAAACCAAGTACATCTTCTTTGCGACATTTTCCCATTTCTCTCAGTTGTAACATTATTTCCTTCAGATCACCCATGCTAGAAACCTTGGTGTCATCTTTGCTTCCTCTCAGATTTATCCCTTCTTACTGGCACAGCCGTTAACCCCTTGCGTTCATGCCCTCGAGGTGGGATATTGCGGTGGACTGGAGCACGATGGCCTGACTGTAAGCTTGGGAGTCAGATCTGGGTTCAAAACCTCTCTCCCCACTTGTTTGCTGTGACACCTTGGACAGCTTCCGTAAATCCTGTGTGTACAGTGGGCCTGCTGCTATCCCTTGCCTTAGGAGGTGGTTGTGGGGATGAGCAGTAATTTATGAAGCACATAATACAGGTCCTAGCAAGTAAAGGGTCCTTGGTAAATGGTAAGTACCGTTGTCATTAACTGGTCTCCTTGCCTTAATTGCCCTTCTCCCTCTCTTGTCTCTGCTACAGATTACTCTATTTTTTAAGATTTATTTTTTAAAAATTTATTTACTTATTTATTTGGTTGCACTGGGTCTTAGTTGTGGCAGGCAGACTACTTAGTTGTGGCAGGTGGGCTCTTTAGTTGTGGCACATGGGCTCCTTAGTTGTGGCTTGCAGGCTCCTCAGTGGTAGCTCGCCGGCTCCTTAGTTGTGGCATGCAAACTCTTAGCTGCGGCATGCATGTGGGGTCTAGTTCCTTAACCAGGGGTCAAACCCGGGCCCCCTTCCTTGGGAGCACGGAGTCTTAACCACTGCACCACCAGGGAGGTCCCCGGTGTAAACACTTTAAAAAGTGTTTACACTTTTTAAAACACTGGTATTACGTGGTCTTACTTTCCTTTGTCTCTTTATGTATTTTTACTAGAACTTTTTATGTAGCTACCACTGAACAGGTCTTATTTCCTTTCCTGATAAGCTTTTTGGGGTTAGGCTTTGTCTTATTCATCATTTTCTCGTTTCTTCCCATTCCATTTTCTCCCCAGGCTTAGCGCAGGGTCTTATACATCATGGATATTTAATAAATACTTGTCGAATCTCATCTGTCTACTCCATCGTGTACTGTGGCTTCCTGCTGTTCGCACTCACATGGTTAGGACAAGGTAATTTAGCCCCACACATCTGGCCTGATTTCCCACTACTTGGCTTTCAGACTCCACTTGAGTTGGTTTGAAATGTCATTGTAAGTACCATCTCTTTGCCTTTGCTCATGCCGATCTCTGCATCTGCCCTCCTCAGTCATCCTCCCTACTTGTCAGGCTCAGTTTGGGTTACACATCACCTGAGAAGAGTACCCCGACAGCCCTTTCCACACTAATGTGTTTCTTCTTTTGAATTCCTGTAGATCTATAGTCTGGACAGTGTACTTCAGCTCTAAATCATGTCTGCTCTTAGCTATAGATGAAGTTCCTCATCTGAATAATGCCACCACCTCACTCACCTGATATGAGTGAGCAAGCGTGTTTGTAAACTATAAAGTGTAGTGCACAAGTTATTTATTGTCATAGATATTTATCCTTTATACGTTGCAATCTCCTTGAGCTCAGCAGGATTTGTGTTTTCTTCGAAAGGCCCTCAGCATTGCTAGAGCACCTGAACAGGAAGACTCCAATACAAAAACAAGATACCTGGTAAAGGTTCATGAGATACTTGGCAGCCAAATAACCTTACTTTAAATGTGTTTTTTCTTCTAGGAGCTATTCATCACTAATGAAAGTTGAGAATATGTCTTCAAATCAGGTATGTTCAAGTTCTTTGCTCTAATGTTGTGCCTTGAAATAATTCACTAAGTTTTTAATGACTGAGTTTCTGGCCAGTGTTGGTTCACATGTTGCAGATGGCTTGACGTGGTTTGGCAACAGTCATACACTCAGGTGGATTCTATTAGACATTGACCCCGCCACCCGCACCCCCACCCCCACCCACCCCCGCCTTCCCTCTGGACTTTGCCTTGTGTTTGTTTTTAAGTAGGTCACCTCGCGGAAAGAGATTGTTACACCTTGTCTGTTGTGAAGTGCAGGTCTGTTAGTATTTATAGGACTTTCCCATTCCCCATTCCCGTCTTTTCTAGTTGCAGGCATGCAAAAGTGCCTTTATCTATTACTGTTCTATGTTAATGTGACCGTAGATTCTATATTGTAATTGAGTGAGGACAAAATTATCACCTTCAGTTAAATGAAACAAAAGATCTTATTTGTAGTCTAAACAGCAGTATTGGTTGTCTTCATGTTCCTCAGGACCTATGATAAAGGGAAATGGTGATCCACGTGTCTTTCCCAAAATTTATTTTGAAGTGTGTAGAGATAGTACAATTTAGCTATTATTAAACAGTCTTTGCGGAAAATTGAAATTAGGTGGATATATTTGCTATGTTGAATGTTTATAGTATAATGTATGATGCTTTAGATCTGTGTTGTCCAGTGCACTGGACACTCATTGCATGTGGCTATTTAAATTACATTTAATTTGATTTAATTTAAAAATTCAGTTTCTCAGTCACACTAGCCATGTGTGGCTAGTGGCTATGGTATTGGGCAGTGTAGAAATAGAACATTTCTGTCACAGCAATAAATACTGTTAAACAAAACTGCTCTAGATGCTTGGAAATGACAGAATTTAAGGTCCCTTAAGGGTTACCTAGCCAAACCCCATATTCAGTGCATGAATTATAATTGTTAATAGGATTTTACACCTTGTTCATAGTTATATATCCTTCTAAAAATGGATAAGAACAATATTTTTATTCCTGTCTCTTTGAAAAACTAAATTTATGAGTCTCCTTTATGAGTCAGAGATGTATCTTCATAATTTATTCCTGAAAAATTCCAGAGTAGCATTATGTAATTAAATAGAACCTTGAATTTGAAGTTTAGACCCTTAAACTGTCATTTACTAATTGGATAAGACTAATAAAGTTATTTAACCTCTCAGAAGGAGTATTCATCAGCAATAAAAGGAGACATATTACTTCCTGAGGCTGTTCTGAAATTTAAACAAGGTCATGTGTGTGAAGGTTCTTCTTTGACTTAGACAATATAAACGGTCATTACTATTTCTTATCCTTGTAGTCCTTAGTTGTTATTTACACACAGAGTATCAGTATCAAAAGATGAGATGTATTTAATCCCTTCTGGAAACTATTCTTAGAAAACAGTTTAACAGTTGAGCAGAAGTCTTTAACATAACCCAAATCTGATGTCTTTGTTGTGATTGTTGTTGCTATTGAAGTTTCCTGTTATTTAGGGACAACTTTTCAGCAGAAATCTGGCACGTATATTATGTTATGACCTTAGGCATTTTCATCATGGATTTTCAAAGTTTGAATGTTGTTTTGGAATTAAGAAATAAACACACACACACGTGCATGTGCAAATATACATATGTATACAAACACCACCATAATATAGCTACGGATGTTAAAAGTTCCAGGATTAGGAAGTCAGATTTGTAGACCAAAGGATTATTAACCCTTCTGCCTTTCCTCTCTCCCCCGTTGCTGCTACGTCTGTTCCTGAGGCCCAGGTTGGAATCGGGTTCAAATTTCTGAGGAAGTTTTGCATTGGGTGTTTCCATTCTCTCTCTCTCACAGTGGTAGGACTCACACAGCTTTTCCCATACTTCAAAAGAATGGGCTTTCATTCTCCTTGTAACTGTCTTCTGTTAAGGGGATGCAGACCTTTTTTTGATCCACTTTGGCAGCATGATCAGTTGATTTTCAGTCAAAGGCTGGTGTTTACATAAGATATGACTTAATTTTTAATTTAGCTTATATAAGTTCATCAGGAAAAATATTAGTCTTCCACTCTGAGGTTGGTTTTAATTTTGAGTTTTTGCTCTCCTATGTAGAATAATTCTCTTCAATCTATAATTTCTTTCTAATTGTTCTAAATTAGGCATCAGGAACCATCAGCAGTTACTTTTGTCATTTTATTTGCATATCACTTTTTAAGTGGATGACAAGAAACCTATTTTGCTACGCTGAAAAACGTATTGACTCTTAAAGGGAACCTAAAATACAAAAATTGTCCAAATCAAGTCTTGGATCGCAGCTATATATTTAAAAGTTAGTTTAATCCCAAACACAGATCCCCAGACACATGGCAACTCTGCAGATCTAACTCACAGCCTTTATAGGGAGTAATTTACTTGGATTGGCCGCAAGCCACATTATCTTAGTGAGTTTTGGGGACACAAACATCCTCAGTGTTTGGCATCTAAAGCTAACCTTCAAAGTTGCAGGCGGACTCTTTCAACATCCCTAATGCTGTTATTTCAGTTTAGAACTTTCGGGCAGTCAGAGTTCTGGTGCGTGGATAGACTACAAACATTAGTTTTCTTTTTGTACAATTATCCAAGGCATTTTTACTGTGGCCTTGGTTCGTTGTGCTAATTGAAGAGAAGCGCAGAGAAGCCTGCTGAATGAAACTAGAGATCAAACCAGACTTCACAGAAATCACTGTTTTCCACCTGTTCCTCCTATTTCCCTGCCCATCTTTAATACGAGTTATTAAGGAGAAAAGCATATAGCATACCTATAAGCGTAAGTTCTCTCCCTCTCTAACAAGTCAGGTATAAAGCAGCGGGAAAGAGAGAGAAGTCAAAACAGTGTTGTGTTCAAGTTATGACATTTTCAAGCAAATGTCCCAGAAGTCACATGATTAGTGAATGTTGGCATCCAGAGCAGTTTTCTTAGGGTGTGCAGTAGCCCAGGATGGAGTCTGGGACTCTACTTTTGTACTTGATCTTCAGGACTTGTTTACAGTATATATCACCATCATGTAAGATTTTTTTCATCAAAAGCTTGGCAAGCCAGCTAACTTGATAACTAGCCTGTAGTTTCCTGGTGACTTTTGCAGTTAAAAAAAAAAAAGAAAAGGGCTTCCCTGGTGGCGCAGTGGTTGAGAGTCCGCCTGCCGATGCAGGGAACGAGGGTTCGTGCCCCGGTCCGGGAAGATCCCACATGCCGCGGAGTGGCTGGGCCCGTGAGCCTGTGTGTCCGGAGCTTGTGCTCCGCAACGGGAGAGGCCACAACAGTGAGAGGCCCACGTACCGCAAAAAAAAAAAAAAGAAAAGAAAAGAAGCCATCTTGTGAAATAACAGATACGTGATAACCCTGAGGCTCAAAGTAATGGAATTTAGGTCAAAAATATTTTTGCATATTTGCAGCTTTGTTGGCATTAAAACATTGAGGCAGTATTTGTTTGGCTTCATTTTATGGTATATTTGTTGAAGGAAGAGTTACATTTTCTTTCGGTCACTCTTGCTACATCCTATACTAAGTCATTGGGCCTTGCTTCATAATTTGGGAATCATTGGTCTCTTATTGCTGGGCAATCCAGGCCATGTAATGACACCTTAGAGAATATAGCTGCTAATCTAGCTATTCTAAACAACTAGCAATTAAAAATAGAGAAGAAATGAGTGAATTTAATTATTTTACTTTTTACTCTGAATTCTGCAGTTCGGCATGAGGGGGCTTGTTACTTAATACTAATTGTAAATTCTTTTAATCAAGTTATTTATTTCGAAGGCTTTTATGGTTTCACTGTTTTGTTTCCTACAGGACGGCAATGATTCAGATGAATTCATGTGAATGGAGAAAAGAACCTTTTAAAGATGTGAATTTAGGGACAGTTGCAGAAGTTTTGATTTCATCTGTGTCCTGAGTCATAAACAACAACCAACCAAAATAATATTCTACAAATATTACCAACTTTGGAGTTAAAAAAAATTGTTCCCTTTTCTGCTTTCAGAAAAGGAGCAGATAAATCACACACACACACACACACACACACACACACACACACACACACACACACACACACACACACACACACATATACAATGTAGTTGGACTTGAAGACAGCATATAACTTTAGGAAAGTGAAAATATTTTTGCCAGAGCATGTCCTGGTACCTCATGAAGGTTGGCTGCCCTTGTTCTTGGAATGTTCCCCTCACCCCAGATTTCCTGATTAGAAAAAAAAAAAAAAGCATGGGTTTTGAAGGTGATAGTGATATTTTCAGAAGGTTGCTGGCTTCAGTGGTCATGTCCCATTGTGCCATCTGAGTCTGTTAGCAGAGCTGCCCTCAGCTGTCAGCTTGTCCAAGCTTCCATGTGCTATATCCTTCCTTTTCCCATTGAGAGCCTCCATCCAGGTACCATCAGGCTTAAATAAATAGTCGGTGTTAATCAAGGTTGGGCCTTTTGGCGATTTTTACCTGAGCACCGAGTAACCCCAGCTGCGTATATTAAACTTCAGGCTCCAGTCATTTCTCAGCACTGAGGGGAGAAATAGGAAGGGATGCACTGTGAATCATTTTGAAGATGTAGGTTACCTGATTTTTGTCTTGGAATGTAGCATAAAGCACAAGTCTACTTGGCAGTTATGGTTTTAGAAAGAATTAAGCATTTCAGTAGCCAGCCAAGTAGTTTATTTACCTTGAAATAATATTTATTTTGAGTTAGAACCCTAGAGTTCAGATTTCTCACTTGTAGACTCAGTAACTTAATATGTAGCAGCCCTACCCATCTGCACCACCTGCCCTCCAGGATGATTCTGAACAGAAGATGTATTTTTATTACAGCCTGCAAGGCAACCCGTGTGGCAAGAGACAAGACAATGAAAGGGGAAGGCACAAAGCCTGCAGGTCAGAAGGCATGCAGATGCACATTTTAACCACACGCAGAGTCTGCAGCTGTATTCTAACCCAGCAAAAATACCTCCTCCAACAGATATTCCACCTGTAACAGCACTTTGGAGTGGCGGGTAAAACCACAAGACTTCAGGGTTTCTGTTTATCCCAAGTTGGTGTATGGGGTCGAACTGGAAGATTTCCTGAGACATTACTCGGCCAAATTGTGAGAAGGGGTGTGGGAGATGACTCCAGAAATTTGTGATTGTGTGTGTATATATGTCCAGTCATATTCAGCCTGGAGTTCTATGAGTTGGAAATGTAATAATAAAGACTCATTTTTTTTTATTTGGGAGGATACTGATATATAAATTCTTAGCTTGTTATTTCCTTCCCCAAACCAGTTTTGAGGGTGATGGGCTGTGAACACCTCATCTATTATATAGGCTTAGGTTCTACGGGGTAATCTTCCTGCCTCACTGATAAATGTGTCTCTCCCCCAGATGCCCACCGGGTCAGAGTGGATGACTTTTCTCAGACACACTCGAGATTGAGTGTAAATTAGTAACTGTGCTTCTTCAATTAGGTGGCCCTCCTGCCTGGTTACTGTAGGCAAACTGCTGCAAACGTCTAGAATGGGGAGACTTTGCTTCTAACATCGCCTTTGTCACCTCAGCTCTCTCTGCTGCTTAAGAAGGACTCCTCTCTACCGCACATTATAACATATACAGGGAGAGCTTTTGAAGAATACATCTGTTTTTACTCTAGTGTGAGAGATCCTGGGGTGCACGTCGTACACATGTCCTAACTCTCAGCTGACACTGGTTTCAAATGTCAGGGCCTCTCTTCTGAATCCCCGGCGCTCAAACCTTTCTAGCTGCTCTGTGGTGGTCTCCTCCTACCTCTGCCTGTGCGATGGGTAGGTTTCTTTCCCCAGCTCCCGTGGTCCCAGAGGAAGCATCGTCCTTTTCTTTTGAGGACATTGGTTCAGTGCCAACAGGTCAAACTGTCGGCACTGAAGTCATCTCATTTCTTGCTATTGGCATGTTTCCTCAACTTCCTGTAGGAAAATTCCAAATTGTTGGCAATTTTATGAGCCGTGTCCTTGATCAAATCATGCATAAAGAGGATTTCTCTTTCCAGCTCTGCCTTCAGTTTCCCCACTCTGATCTGCGTGCAGGTGAGGTTCACATTATCATTTAATTTACTTCACAAACTCTGTTGTATTCCTGTAGCTTGAGAATTTATTTCTTATCCACCTTTGTTGACCTAGGGTCATGATCTTTGGGCAAGAGAAGTTTGTCACAGTGCTTGTGTTGGAACAGACTAGGATGTTTACCAAAATACAGAAGGTTTTGACCTTAGCAAAGTAGGCACTAAGCTGTAGTTGAACCCCTTCAGTATCTCTTTGTTGTGCTGGGTTTTTTTGTTTTGTGTTTTTTTTTTTTTTTTGCAGTACGCGGGCCTCTCACTGTTGTGGCCTCTCCCGTGCGGGGCACAGGCTCCGGACGCACAGGCTCAGCGGCCATGGCTCACGGGCCCAGCCGCTCCGCGGCATGTGGGATCTTCCCGGACCGGGGCACGAACCCGTGTCCGCTGCATCGGCAGGCGGACTCTCAACCACTGCGCCACCAGGGAAGCCCTGTTGTGCTGTTTTTAACACTTTCTGAAGCCCGGATTTGGGTGAACCTTTTAACTCTTCAGTGCCAATGGTTTTCCCCACTTGGGAAGGAAGGTATGAGCCACACATGCAGCAAGATTAGAGGAGAATTCAGCTCTAGCCGCTTGTCTAGGAGCAGAGCTCCTCTTCCCACATCTGCGTCCGTCAGAGATGGGAAACTCTCGTCTTCCAAGCTGGAACAGGTTATGGGAAAAACTGAGCAGGATGGAGAAATGGAACACTTTCCAGTTTTTCCCGAGCTGTGGTATTGAAGCTGCTTTTTCTGATTTGAAGTATGGCATTGTGAATAATAAATCCCATACTCAGAATGATCATAGTAGAGCTGAGTGGGCAACCTTTGGATTTTAAAGTAGACTGTGAAAATATCCAGCTGTACTCAGAAGTGTAAAATTAGAAACTTAAATTCCAAGCTAAACGTCCATCTTGACCCATCTAACTCCAGCAAGTATGTGGCAGCTGGGAAGTGAGGGCAGCACGGCTGGCGCTTCAGCAGGCTCACGTTCAAGTTGGGCTTCGCGAGAGCTCTTCTCTGCCGAGTGCACGTGGGCCCAGCACAGGGCAAGAGACTCGTGTGCGTTATGTCATTTCACAAACGAAATGCATGATGCCACCCACGTATTCATCATGTTCTGGATGAATGATGTGTAAAATAGAACAAAAGCTGATAGTTTGAGAAGAACCAAGCGTGTGTGTGGGATTTCACTGTTACTTTTCTCCTCCATGATGCAGTCTCACTGATGGGATGTGTAATTATTCTAGGCAAGTAGGAAGAAGGAGGTTCTCGGCTACCTGAGATGATGCCCTTTGAGCAGTCAGTTTTGCCCTTTAGCAGGAAGAAGAGAGCAAATTGCAGTAAAGGGAAGATGGCGCAAGAATTCCAGGAAGAGAACTGAAGAACTCAGAGCCTGAGGGCCGTGATCTTTGAGCCCTAGAATTTGAAGTCTACGACTCATTCCCCGCCCCCCTAGAGTTCCTAGGGGTCTGCCTGAGACCCTGACCCTGGAATGAGGTGCAAAACATGTAGACTTGCCGGAGTGGTATCACTGATGAATGTCCTGTCTCTGGGCCAGCCTTCTGTTTATAGAGTCACCCCTTCTGTGACAGTGCTTATTCTAACGTTACCCAGTATGTTGGCAGGAGGTATCAGGTTAGAAGGGACCACAGAAACAGTCAGGCTTTGCTCCCAGCTATACAAAGCATGTTTGACTTCTTAAATGTTTATTAGAGGATGCTGGGTTCTGTTTGTCACTAGTCAAGGCAATACCTGCGCGCTTTTGGTTTTAACTGCCTTAGCTACTAGAATCCTGGGGTTTAAGGTTTTGAGTAAATCAACCTATCTGGGGAATGTAGGTTGAAACCAGACTTTTCCTATAGAAAAATGTAGAGATCCGTGTATATTCTTGGTGGACTCAGGAGTACACTGAAAATACAAATAGCTATCTAACGCCATGTGTTAACCATGGCTTACCATTAGAATATACATACCTCCATTTTCTCACAACTGATTGCTTTGTTTTGTCTTGCTGATTTCATGGTGTCAATTACTGGAGGAACTCCAGGCTCTCCACCTTAGTGGTTATGACTGCAGTTCTGTACTGTGCCAGATGAAATAAGAAACAGGTCTCTGTGTTGGCATGCGCCAGTGGGCTCTGACTAGGCATTTTCTGCTTTTGTTGACAGCCAAGGAACAGAGGCCAGGGGAAGTGAACGCTCACCCTAGAATCCCGTGTAGCTTTTGCTAGTACCCAACCCTGGTGAGTGGCTGTCAGTGTTTCAGGCTAAAAAATAAAGGAATTCTCCAAAGTCAGTATTGTTTTTCAATCCCACATCAACCCCATGCTGTAACCACTGCATTAAAAATATAAGATTAATGGCCTGACATTTCACATCCTGCCTAGGTGAAGGCTTAGCTGCCTGCGTTCTTGCTGGTATTTTGGTTTCTGCCTCAGCAGTTTGCCTTGTAGAGAGAAGGTCAACATTTGCTTATGATTTCTGGGATATGCTTATGAGAATGGGATTTTCCAGGTGTTGAGGGCTATTCTGTGGATCTTGAACCGTTTTAGCTCTTAGTCAGATTCAGGGTCAACAGGTTAAAATTGCAGACTGAGAAATGTAAAGAGAAAAATACAGTTCGAGGCAACGGCCTTTTATCCGTCTCAGCCTTGCCAGAATTATCTTCAGTTGTGAAGCCCCTCGCTTTGTTATATTAATCCCTTCAAAACTCTGAAATTTTTGTTCTTTGGTTAATGTACTCTGCACCCAATGAGGCTTACATAACTTATTTCCAAACTAGAATTGCTTTAAGAAGAGTCTTAGGAAAAGGATGGAAGGTCTGAAATAGTCAAGGCTTAAATTTAGTCACAGGAAAAGCT